TATAATGATGCTGTCTTAGTCAATTAAAAAAAACATATGACAAAAGAAGCATGTGACTTTTTCTTCCTCCCATGATGCAGTGTTGGCTGTCTGAGCAGATTATCTCCTGGCCCAACTCAGAAATATTACCACCACTGGATCAGTATGGCAGCCATGCAACTATTTTCCTGATATCTCCATGGTATCACCCTTGCGAAAGATAGGTCAGAAAATGATTTTAACTACTGGCAATAAATTTTCCGATTTCTGCATGGCATCACATACAGGAGACAGAGTGAACCCATGTAATGCCATAGAGATATGTCAGGAAAGGAAAATTTACAGTAAGTATTGGTAATCCGTTTCTGTTTTTTCAAAGGAATAGGTCAGCAATGGCAGCCTCCTTCATATTTCTCTCACTGCAAGTTTCTTGTAAGAATCCTATATTTACATAAACAATATGTGTAATACTGATGTAGTCTGCAGTAACTATGGAACTGACTGTACATGATCATCATACAGATGAAAGGCTGTATAGCAGGAATATTTGTATTACTTGCTATGTACATTAAGGGGAATCTATCAAAACTGGAGCAGACAAAAACTGGAGCAGCTCTGCATGGCAACCAATCAGCTTCCCTTTTTCATTTTCAAATCTTAACTGAAGAGTGAAGCTGATTGGTTGCCATGCACAGCAGCTCCGGTTTTGATAAATTCCCCCCCATTAAGTTAATAAACAGACTGGCATCCCACAGAACGCAATGGGTTACGTTTTCCCAGGACTCGCAATCAGCAGCACCTATATATAATTGACTAAAATATTAGCTGAATAACTTTGGAAACCTGGAATGGATGACATATTGGGGGGGGGGGGGGGACACCATTTTTCCCCCCTTCTGAAAATGCTAGAAGACTACCATCCTGACCCAAAGGCTTCAGTACATTTCTGATCCAGAACAAGCATGCATCTAGTCAAGTTGAAACCCTGCTCTGCATACCTGCTCTGGGTCAGTGACCCTTAAAGTATGTAGGCCACTGGCCTGACAGCATGGCAGCCCGACAAATACCTTTTCAAAATGAAAGGTCAGTAATACAACCCAATCTCACCTTAGTATAAAGGGCCCTATATGACAGTCAAGCAATGATTGGGCGGCTATATAGGAGTACAGCCTAACAACTTTGTGATCACAATGTATTGTTGGTAAATTTTGTGTACGCACCTATCCTATTCCATATAGGAGCACCTTTAGGAAAGAATGTTGAGTTCATTTTGATAACGAAGTCATCAGAAGTTTTAAAAAAAAATCATGTGGCCAGTCTGAAACATGTTTCTTTTGTCCATTTCATGGGAAGTAGAAGCTGCTATTGGGGGCTATAAGATGACTTCTGCCCATTGATTTTGAGAAATTTGCTGTTTATTGGCAGCCTAAAAACAAAACAGTTGCACGTGGTTCTGTGGGATGTTTTTGGTGTAGTAAACCTGTGTTTACCTAAAAACATGCAACCAAGTGTAGGGTGATTGTAGTGATAGCAGCCTGTTCATTGGAGCATGGTTCCAGAAGTCTACTCTGGATTCTCCCCCTCCAACAAAGCCTATTCAAAGCTATCCTCTACATGAGCCCCACTATCTTCATGGCCCTCTATAAAATCTTTGCCATTTCCATGTAAATTCTAAAATGCACTTACAGAATATTGTACCTGATGGAACTATCAGAATCATCTCCTTGTTCTTTCTTTCCTCCTGAACATAAGGTCAGCTTTAAATAAAGATCATATCACTTTTCTTATCCTCTTTTATTAGAATACCACCAGCTACAAACATCTCTGCAGGACTGGATCCATTTAAAGTTCATATTTAAAAGAACCAGATCTTTCCAGCAAGGACAGGTCTCTTATCTGGTTATATTAGGAAAGGTAAATCTCTTCTGGCCAAAAGGGATCAGTAGATCTACTTTGGAATATTACAGCAGGCAAGTCAAACTAATATGAAACAGTAGGCTGAACTAAGTGAAATAAATCTTCAAGTGGGCCACACCTATTTCATTTTAGAAAAATATTACAGAACTCAGAGTGACAAAATGACATATAGAAGTGGAGCTTTGTCAAATGGAGAAAGCTGTGCCCTCTTTCAGTTAAAGTTCCTAAACCACCGAGGGCCACAAAGAAGAAGAGGGCCACAGTGTGGCTCAAAAACATTTGACATATCTGTTCAATAGGGAGCCAGCATCACACATTGAGAACTTGTCACAGATTTTTATGATGTATAAATAATGTATTTTTTATTAAATATTATAACCCAAGATCGGATTTTAATATCTGTATGTTTATTCATGCACAATTTACTATGCCAGTGGTTATAGGTGTATCAGTTACACTCTGCAACCAGTGTCCTTGATTTTCCTGATCTAACGTCCATTTGCACCTTTGTAAGTGATTAGCATTTATTGTAGTATTGTAGAGGTGCAGTGATTATGTATACGTGTGCACATTTTCATGACTCAGATTGCTGACTTTCTTTTTTTTTAATTAACTTTATTAGGCCTGAATCCTAGAAATTAAACATTTTCTCCACAGGAAATTCAGTCTGACACCAGGGTCGGATTGTAAAGCAGGCTGTAAAACAGCTGCCCCCTCCCTATGATTCTATGTAACACAATCACTAAACACCAGCTCTGCCTTCGCACACAATACACTGTCCTGGGGGGTTGCCACTATAAATACTAATGAAAGGGGGGGTGGCTCAGTTGTAATATAACACATTGCTTGCAAAGCACAGAGGTGGCCATTTCCATCAGAAGATGAAAGGAACACTAACAAAAAAAATGTAAGTTTCTGTGTTCATATACAGCAACTACATATGCCTGCTTGCACTGCAGCCAATCAGCTTCTTTTTTATTTTCAAAAACTGAAGAAGCTGATTGGTTGCCATACACAACTGCTCCAGATTTCGTCTGCTCCAGTTTCGATAAATTCCACTCTGTGTACATTGCTGGCATATGTTTTTTTTTTAATTTAAAATACCTTAGATCCTCCATTGTACATGTGGATTGTGAAGTGGCATGCCCACTTCACAATCCACATGTACAATGGAGGATCTAAGCAGTAACTAGAGTGGTAACCCATTAAATAGTCAGCAGGGGCATGCCAGAATATACATAAATCATGGAAGACAGGCAGGGGGCAGCTAGGTCCAGGACATTACAGACTGTACTGTATATATACAATAAAAAAACAATACCAATATTCAGCATGTATATTTGTGTGTTGTCTTTAAAACTCAACAGCAGTTCAAGTTCAGACTTGGTCAAATTCCTGCAGAAAAACATATACGGTACATCTGTAATGTGATCTGTGTTCGTTTTACACCATACCGGTTTGTATACATCGGTGTTGAACAAAGCAAATTGCAGTATCCCTTCTGGGAAAATAGCTAACATTTGAGGTTTTTCTGACTTGCTTTTGTGTGCATTCACATTGATCTGTACAGGGGAAAAAAGGCAGTGCCCCAGCATTATGGTGTGAATGGCCCCTAAAATATGAGCATATCCTGTTTAAGTGACTGTAGTATAGTGTGACTGAGGCATTGATATATGCTAGCAATAGGTAAGATATAAACACTCACTTCCCTTTTTCTGTACAGAAGTCTCCATTTGGAATAAAGTATACAGCAGATTTACCCATTTAGCGAACACTGTAATTAAAGTAACACTAAACTCAGGAGTTAAAATCTTTAAAATGCATTCAAATACCTAATTAACAAAAATGTAATTTGTGTAGATCCTCAAATCATCTCTGAATTGGTGCTGACACTGTCCTTCCTTCTGGAGGGTGGCTACTTTTGTTCCCCATGGTCCCTGTGTGTGTTGTAAAGTAGCTACCGCTCCAGCACTCCTGTGATGGATTACAATCTCAATACAAATTAGTAAACTAAACGTGAGATTAGTCCATCACAGGAGCGAGCTTGGAGTGGTGACTACTTTACAACACACACGGGGACCATGGTGAACAAAAGTAGCCACCCTCCAGAAGGAAGGACAGTGTCAGCACCAATTCAGAGATGATTGGAGGATCTACAGCCGAGTGATACACAAATAAGATACATTTTTGTTAACAGTTAAGGAACTTGAATGCATTTTTAAGATTTAACGTCTGAGTTTGTCACTTTAACTTCCACTTTAAACTGTTAAAGTGGATTTGTCAATATATTAAACTGTATTTCACCTTTTGCAATCAAATTGAGAGAACACTTGTGTTACATTTCTCATGTTCTCCTTCACATGGCATAAGCTAAAAACAAATAAAAAAATGTGCCACTTTAAGGCACCTGATTTCTTTACATATTAAAATAGAAAGCCACGTGTGCTTTAAATAGCTTTTATTAGCAAATGCAAATACTCATTTTTTACATTGTACAAATGTCCTCATTCAAACATAGTTTGCCGTAATAAATTGCATATGGAAAGCTTTTCAGAAAATAACCACAATAATTTATAAGAAAGCTTTCCTTTTAACAATCTGACAAAGTGCACGGATAGTAATGATTAATTAAGGTCAATTAACCACAAGGCAGCAATAATGTTTACTACGTGTAATGTGCAGTGTAAAGAGACCTGTATGATGAGCTCCCAGAATGCTATAGTGCAGAAAGTAGGAGTGACCTTAATTAATCACCCATAGAGAGCACCGCGTAACAAACGCTGTGCCATGTTCTTAAGCTCCTCAACTACGACGGAATTTGCAGTCTTGTGACATCAGAAATGCAATGCATCCCCTACACCAGCATGGAAATTCTGCTTCTGTCATCTTTACGTGACTTAAAAAAAAACAAAATGTAGAATCAAAGTGGCAAATGGAAGCTGTTGCTACATGCCACACGATATAATATTTGGCATCAAATAAAAATGCTTCCATCAATAAGTAATTGTGCAAAAACAAATTTCTGTGTCTTTTGTAGCAGGATTCTTTTGTATTCTGCAATACAGCAGGCAGCTCGATTATAGAAGGAGAGACGGTAGTATACTGCTAAGGAATTTAGATGACATAGTATAGGTTAACCTGCATTCTTTCAGCTAGTAATAAACATTGCAGCATTAAGGGCCTATTAATTGATGCAGTGGTTATGTACAATATAAGCCAAAACAATGCAGAATATAAAATAAAAAGATACATGTCACCGCAGATGAGAGAAACAGAAAGAAAGAAACGTCTACATGTATGTCAAATTAACTGTTAAAACATTCAAACAACCAAAAACGCTAGATTGACATTACTAAGGCTTAATAATGAGGAGATCTGAAAACAACTGCTTTAACATTAAACCATAGATGAATGCGGATTATCTATCTAATCATTGCACTATAAAAAGCCTCGGCATGCTCCCTATGCGAGGTAATTGTACTTCTTGGAGTCTTCTTTGTCCCTTTCCATGTAGTCTCTGTCTATTAGTGACTCAATCCTTTTCTTCAGGTCCCCAGGCTGGAAGAAAACAATTCACGATTAAACTACAACCACATCCTCTATACCTTACAGCCAAGGAAGGTGCCATCTTAGCCTCTACTTGGATTGCAGTTGCCATGGTGATGCACATGTGATCATCTATAACACAGCCATTTCAGGGCTTGAAAGTTCAGTTGGGAGCTGAAATAAGCACACTGGCAACTTTGACAGTTGGCATGCCTTGAAAGTAACTGTTTTTGAAGACCATTAAATTGGTGGGTCTAGTTCCAATTTAAAGGATAAGTTCACCTCTTGCAAAAATTAAAGAAATGCATAATTTAAAATATTTAATTTATATATAATAAATTATGCATTTCTTTAATTTTTTGCAAAAGGTGAACTTATCCTTTAAAAAAGGTTGAATTTCCCACTAATGGTCACAGGTATCTTGCACTTATTTGATTAAAAACAAAGTAAAACAAACAAAAGAAAAAAACTCTGCAGTTGTGAAAAGTTGTGTAGAGAGCCCCATCAGTCAATCAGATTTCAGTTTAGTCTAGTCGTCAGTTAAGAACTGCTGATTGCCTTTACTGATCAGGTCTGTGAAATCTCTGGATTTGGGTGGCAGTTGGCAAGCAGAAATACAGGCTATATTCTCTCATATGTCGTGATATCAAGTGTATGTAAATACAATAAACAAAACATTTTATTCCTAGTTTTGGAGAGAGTGGGTGAGGCTAGATTCACACATCGGCGGTCCCCAAAAGGTTGGCGCACGGCCCCATTGTTTTCACATCGATAAAAAAAGGTTTTGTGCACGATTGCCGCGCAGTCACAGATCTCCACAGTGTGAACCTAGCCTAAAGGTTCAAACCTCTGTCAGGAAATGAGTGGAAGCATACAGCAAAACAGACAGAGATAAAAATGCTTTTCATTACTAGAGTAGGGAAAGCGCTAGAACCCATCTGATTTTCATTTCGGTTACAGATTTTCCTTACTTCCTGCCTGGCGAGACCATTGTCAGCAGGACAGGACATGATGGTAAATCCCACCCACAAAGCTCCACGTAGTGGTTAAACTTTCCCCACTCTACCCCAAACTAGAAAAATTTTTGGTTTTACATACGCTTTAAGATTTTGCTGAGGGAAATTTATCAAAATGGGAGCAGACAAAATCTGGAGTAGTTGTCCATGGCAACCAATTAGCTTCTCCTTTTTATTTTCAGTCTAACTGAACAAACTGAGGGGAGAAGCTGATTTATTACTATGGGCAACTGCTCCAGATTCTTTCTGCTTCAGTTCTGATCAATTCCCCCCTAAGCGCACACTGCAAGGATATAAATGCTCACACAATAGTGAAATGCAGTAGATAAGCAAGCAGCTACTTCCTGTGTCTAAACATAAAAAAAACTGTTGGGTAAAAGAAAAAAAAACCCACAACTTTGCAAGTTCATTAGCGAAAAGAAGCATGATCTAGGATGTTGCCCAACCATTGCACAATTCTCACAGCACTGTTTTAAAGAAGAACTCGGGAACCCACATTCATTAACCCTTGCAGTGGGGCTACCCCGGCAGTGCAAAAGTGAAGTGCTCCTTTTTGTATATGTTTAAAAATAACAAAGATATACTCGCCCGAAGCTCTGAGCCGGCCAGCTGTCACAACGCTCCCTCCTGCCTGTCGCCTCCTATTCTGCAGCACTGGAATGTTCCTCAGCGTGCTCACATCTTCTGTAAAGGGAATTAATCAAAACTGGAGCAGACAAAATCAGGAGCAGTGGCCCATGGCAACCAATCAGCTTCTATCTTTCATTTTCAAATTTTAACTGATTGGTTGCCATGGGCACTATTTCAGATTGTCTGTTCCAGTATTGTAAAACTCCCGTCAGTGTATAGAACATGATGATTTACAGGACCTTAGACCACTGCAGAATAAAGGGAGAGGGGCTCCAAGAAGCGGTCTAAGAACAAGCCAGCTCCACAATTCAGGCGAGTATAACCTTTTTTCCCCCTTTAATCTAAAAAAAACCATGAGCAGTTAACCAATGCAGTGCGGGGGTAGCCCCAATCTTCATGCAGCCCTGGTGAGACCCAAACATAGCCCTGTATAAGTGCTGTATAATCATGGATTGACAAGGTCAATGAATATACAGCAATAGAGAATGGCAACAGACTATAGAGGACTACAAATCTCAGCAATCTATGACTGCTGGTTGCCATTCTCCATTGCTGAATAATCATGGATTGAGTTACAGTTCTTCATAATTATAAAGAAACTGCCCTAAAATCACATGTCCCTTTAAGAAAAAGTATCAGTAATTGGTATTGGCAAGTACCTGAGCGAAAGTACTTGTCTTGTTGTCTTGAACAAATGGTATTGGGACATCCCTAGTGCTAAGATGATTGCTCTCACTCCGCTGTTTCCCTGTGAGATTGCACAAAGGAACATGACATGTCCTCTTTATGGAGACATCAGGGGTCTATTAGGCCTTTAATGTCATCTATGAACCCCAGAGAAGCTGATGAGGAACAGATCGTATGTTGTCTGACCACAGCATCCGGAGAAATGACAGCTTGAAACGGGAAGTGCCGAAATCCTTGTCGCTTCCAGGTTCAGAAACGAGAGGGGAGAGCAGCCACTGGAAGCGTGCCGATCTCCCTCCCATACAGTCAAAGACACCCATCATGCCGTTCCTGGGCCCGCATAAGGGAGAGCGGAGCCCAGGATATATGGCAGAGGAGGCAGAGGTCAGGGTCTTCACTCTTTCTAGCACCAAACAAGTGATCGGGTATTTACCTCCATTTTGCATCAATTATTCTTCAAACAGTGGAGTCCCGTTACTTCCTGTTGAGAAGACTGGTCACCCGTTCCTGTTCTCTGTTCACTTGTCAATGAGGATTAAGGCAATGCTGATGTAATCAAGCCAGTGCTGCCTAATTTAGTTACAATTTACCCACCTCAACCCATCCCGTCATTGACTCTGCAGGGCACCCTGGAACAGGATGTCATGCAGAGCTCCCTTTAAGATCCTTCCTCCTGGTGGCCACACTGAAAGATCTTGCAGCTGGTGACAGATTGGCTGATACCCTTAGCTTAGAGAATGTTAAAGTCTTTGGAGCAAAGTACAGCCAAACTTTGAGATCAGGGTTGAAGGGAAGGAGGCGGGGTAAATTGGGGCCAGGAAAAAGTGAGCCTGGAGATGAGCTTGAAAAACAGTTTAATAAAAATAAGCATGTACGATTAGTGGCCCTTTATTGCTTTACACAAAAGCAGATGACTAGGCTAGTGAATCATTATGGAATAAAGTAGTAGTAACTCATTACTTTGGAGCAGATTACTGGAGCCGCCTCCAGGAAGTACAGAGAAAGAAAGAAAAATATAGACTATCAGCATTAGCTATTCACATAATACACAGAATGTAAACAGATATGCACTGAAAGGACAGACAAAGCCATATTTACCTTTACAGGGAATTTTAGCTGATTATAAAGCTCAGACACAAGGAGATTGTGTGAAAGACTTTTCCTCATCTTCATAATGCGCACCAGAGCTGCATCAATCTGGTACTGTCTGTCTTGGAAAACCCTCTCTGTCGTATTAACCTGTTCTTCCACCTGGAAAGACATTACCTCATGTTACACTTACTACTGCAGAAATGTATACTATTGATATAATTTATAGATAGATATGTCGCCATCAGGGATGCACCGATATATCGGCTGCCGAAACATATCGGCCGAAAATGGCACTTTTGGCCAAATGCCAAAAGTGTAATTTTCCTGCCAATACATCGGTGCATCCCAGGTTGCTCTCCTCCCCGCTGGGCGCTGCTCTGTGTCTCAGCGGGGAGGTGGGAAAGTGACAGCCGGCCGAACGGTGCGGGAGGAAAGCGCTGTGAGCGGCCGGCGTCTCCTCCCACACCGCTCAGCCTCCTATCACAGTCCAGTAGAGCGGTGTGTGGGCGGAGACAGCGCTGTCACAGGAGGCTGAGCTCTCTTCCCACACCGCTCGCTCAGCCTCCTGTGACAGCGTGTCAGAGAGGAGAGCAGGTACAAACACTCAGTGATCGCTGAGTGTTTGTACATAATTGAGGACATGGTATGTTAACTATATCCTCAATTATGAATGAATGGGAAGTGATCTACATCACCCCCATTCATTCATAGTTGTAGTTATAGAAAACACACAATGTCCTCATGTTATCAACAGGAACACTCAGTGGATTCCTGTTCATTTATCCCCTAAAAGTAATGTAAAAAATAAAATTTAATAAAAAATGAATAAAAATATAAAAAAAACTTAAAGTTTATAAAAAAGAAATAAAATATTTAAAAAAATAAAAAACATTTTCGGTATCTGGTTCGGTCTGAAATAATTTTTTATTTCGGTTTCGTTTTGGCTTAAACATTCCTATTTCGGTGCACCTCTAGTTGATATATTGATATTATTAAACTATTGATACTCAAAATTAAACCAAAACACACACAAATAAGTGATCACACACAATAATGCTCACCGTTTCCTTCATTTGGATCTGGTTGATTTTAATCCGATATAACTTGTGCTTAAAGTCTGATTTAAAGGTAAATTTGTCTCCGTCCTCCACCTCTTTACCCTTTGGTATTTTATTTAGTACCCTGGCTTTACCACATGCCAGTGACTGCAGAGTCCGCCTTAGCTCACCATCCTCTGTAAAAAGAGCACACAATAAAAATATTAGTTTGTGTTAAACTTGTCTCCATCCTCCACATCTTTACCCTTCAGTATTGTATTCAGTACCCTGGCTTTGCTACATGCCAGTGACTGTAGACTCCATTTCAGTTTGCTATCCTCTGTATAAAGCACACAAATATTAGCAGGCCATCCCAACCTAGTATTCTATTGATGCAGGAAGCCAAAGCCGCAAGTAAACTTTTTTTGCATACTCGACCCCACAACCCTTCCATAAAAAAAAAAAAAAGAAGAACCCACAATTTTCTCTGAAATAGCTTGAAACTGACCAAAGTAAATCGGCATCCATCATTAGATATTCCATATGCAATAAATAAAAAAAATCAGACTTTCCATTTGATATTTGATTCAACGGGAATGAATCAAATGAAAAAATGGCATGGACAAAAATGATGGGACCTTTAACTTAATATTTTGTTGTACAACCTTTAGAGTCAATTCCTGCAAACAAGAGATTTCTGTAGCATTCAATGAGACTTCTGTTATTTTGGCCCACTCTTCTTGAGCAAACTGTTCCAGCAGTCTCAGGTCTGAAGGTTGCCCTCTCCAGACTGCATGTTTTAGCTTTTTCAATAGGTGTTCAATAGGACTCCAATCAGGGCATAAAGGCAACATAATGAGACTAATCCAATGTTTTGTATTTTTGGGTGCTTTTAGCTGTGTGTTTTGAGTCATTATCCTGTTGGAGGACCCATGACCTGCAACCGAGACAGAATTTTCTGACATTGGGCAGTACATTTCGCTCCAGAATTTCCTGAGAGTCATTGTGCCCTATACAGACTGAATAAGTTCCAAAGTTCCATAATTTTATTGATGTACACACATCTCGTCATAAAGCAACGTTTCGGGGCCACTCCGGGTCCCTTCAACAGGCCAGATGCATCATAGCATCCCCAAAACATAATGCAGTCTCCTCCATGTTTCACAGTAGGTACAATGTTCTTTTTTCTAAAAAGCTTCATTTTCTTAGGATGTGAACATACTAAAATGACTTGCCAAAAAGCTCCAGTTTCTTGTCAACTGTTCGAAGAACATTTCCCCAGTCACATTGCTTCTTGTTATATGCATTTTGGCAAATTACAGTCTGGCTTTTTTCCTTTGAGCCCACTACCACACAAAAAGTGATGGGTGGTGCAATTAGACACTGGTCTACCTTGACCTTGGGAGTTCAGCTTGCATTTCTTTGTAAATTTTCCTTGACTCTTTATCTGCCTTTCACACTATTCTTCTGTTCAATCTGGGGTCAACTTTCCTTTTGCAATCAGACAGGGAGGTTGGCTACACTCCTATGGATCTTAAACTTCTTAATATTTGCAGCTGTAGTCACATGAACCTCAAGCTGCTTGGAGATGGCCTTAAAGCCATTACTTTTGGACACACTGATCTATGATTTTCTCCTTTGCTCTCTCTGGTCTATGTTCAGTATGGTGCATATGATGATACCAAACAGCAGAGTGACTAATTTTCTCCATTTAAATAAGTTCACTGAATGATTACTAGATTGAAGACGTGGGATACGAATTACAGAAAACAGTTACTTTGAAATATCATTAATGATCTATTTATAATCTTTTCAGGGGGTACAATAATTTAGATCTTTTCACCCTTTCTTTGGTTTACTCTAGGACACACCAAAATGCATGCAGGTATACATGAGACAACTGCTTTTAATGTCATCACTTTGAGAATAGAGGAATGAAGTTGATCTGTAAGAGTACCAACAAACGTGTTCACACAATAAAATTGTATTTTTAGAAGAAATAATGTGGTCACACTGCTAATATGGCAAACAGATATCTCACCTACTGCTGTAGCCATTTTAATTTCTTCAAAACTGAAATCATCTCCCTCATTGAACATAAGCAGCACTAGTGTTTGAAACAAAGACACCTGAAGCTCTTTCTTTTCCTGTAGGAAACAAATTAAAAACCAGCATTAGAAAACATGAATGAAATATCTGCTTGTAAAGTTTACAACTCCCAACCTGTCTTTTCAAACACAACAAGGACATAGGAGGAAACAGGGAGCATATGTCTATTTCAGAGGGATTTTCTGTTTCACTGACTTTATCCAATTTTCCCATAGTTAAAATATAAAGGTGCCTATCGCTGCAGGATTTGGGTTTTCAGGTTATCACTCATACCATGGATCTGGTTTATATATCCTAATAATCCTTATTTAGTTAACATAAGAAGTGCCATTAATTTACCCTTTCATATAGTGCCAGATGGTTTTGGATCACTTTAGTAATGGTTTTTGACAGTTAAAGAAGAACTCCAAGCAAAACGTCTATTAACCCTTGCAGTGGGGCTACCCCCCACAAGGGTTAACTGCTCATTTTCATTTCGGTAGTAAAAAAAAATTAAAATAGTTATACTCACTCAATCCTCAGAGCTGGCTGGCTGTCACAAAGCTGCCTCTATGCTGCAGCAATGGTATCTCCCTTGCCATCCTCAAGTGATGACTCAAGGATCCTTTGACCGCTGCAGCAGAGAGGCAGGAAGGACTGGTCTAAGAGCAAGCAGGCTTTTTTATTTTAGCACCTAGACAAAAATGAGTAGTTAACCCTTGCAGTGAGGGGGTAGCCCCACTGCAAAGGTTAATACAAGTTTTGCCCAGCGTCCTTCTTTAATAAGGTTTTATTTGCTTACTCAGATGCTCTTCATAGAATATTGGATTTAGTTCAAAAAAGCTGAATAGGTTGAGCTGCAGTGCCTTAGAATTAGTTAAGGGCCCAGGAGTCAAACAATAGCAGCCATCATAGCAGAAATAAGGCTGGGTTCACACCTAGGCGTATTGAATATGCGCGTTTTTTCGCGCGTTTCGTGGCGCGCATTTTTACAGCGATTCGCGGTAAAAAAACGAGCGACAAACGCCCGTTTCCGAGGGCTAGTTGGCTGTATCCCAATGGAAACGCGAGACCAAAACGCCCCAAAGAAGTACGTGTACTTCTTTGGGCGTAGGCCGTTTTGTATCGCGTTCGGACGGGCGGAAATACGGCAAGGTGTGAACCAGACCCATTGAATACAATGGGATTTAGATGTTTGAGCATTTTGTAGAGCGTTCGTCGAGCGTTGAACGCGCTACAAAACGTTCAGGTGTGAACCAGGCCTAAAAGAACAGGTTAGAGCAGGTCCATACAGAAGGAAGAGAACGGTGAATTTAATTGTGTGAATAAGGAAAGGAATACATTATTTTAATGTGTACTGGATTGCTTGCATTCTAGATTCCCTGTATGTATGCCTCCAACAGATACTAATTCTTAAGAATACAGTTTTGTGACTGGCAGTCACAAATGAAACTAAGTGCAATGATGTCTTAACTGAAATGCAAACGAAAAGGGAAAGGTTTATGCCTCATGGTGCAAGCATGTCTTGCAGAGGAAAAAAAACAAACTGTTGCAAATGCAAGAGGATATTCTAATGTACTGATTGTATTACTGCAATGTTAGTCTCTCTATATGCGTGTGTGTGTGTGTGTGTGTGTGTGTGTGTGATCTAAACACATAAACAACAAAAACAACTATATAGTAAGTTATCACTGTACAATGGTCCATAGGGGTATAAATGCTTCCGGGTGGGAAGAAGCTGGTGCATTTTCTGAAGGACAGGGATCCACTATTCTTTCTTGTGCATTGCATCACTGACATAGAAAAGCAGCAGACGTGCAGTTAACACCTCTTATCAGAAAGAAAAGAGGATCACCTGCCGACTCTCACAGATATTTTGTAAGAAGTTAGAGATCTCTGTGTAGAGGAACAAGTGCCTGTGATGTTGTCAATCAAACTAAACCTCCTGAGATTCAAATTGGACCATTCAATCAAAGGACAAATTTTGCACATGTAGGCATAAACAATAATGGAGGTCAACTGTAATGCAGAGAATAGTGGAAATAAGTGTTGGGTGTAGGGAATGTCATTCGTTTGAGGCTTAGAGTGCACAATCAGGGCCGTCTGTGCATAGCCTGCTTAAAACAAGAGGGAAAATGCCATAAAACTTAATGTAGAATAACTTCCCCAAATTTGCCTAGTTGTTTCTATGGAAAGGACTGAACAATATTTTATATTTTATGTGCAAACAGTATGTTACAAAAATCCAAATTAGCCAGCAGATTTCTGTGTATTCGAAAGGGATTTGGTATTCGCTGTCTAAAGTCAGAATGATTCAACGCCTTGTTAAGGTCAGCGGCTTCCTATTCATAAGTGACGCACCAGAATTATGCGAGAATAATGCAAGAATTTAATCTGTAGGCGGACATTGGCTACATGCCAAAAGGGCCATGTCTGTATACATTAGACACTGGGAAAACGCTTTTTATTGAAAGGAAATCAAATACAGGCCAAGCCAAAACTTATTTTTAGTTTTAGATTAAATGGGGAAGGATTAGAAGAATTGTTATCTGGGGCTCCATTAGCAAGATATAGTGTCCCTTCACTATATGTCCCGTTGACAACAGTTTCACCATACAGGAAGTGAGGGAAAGTCTGCAATAAAGAGACAAACGGCAATAAAAATAATGGGTTCCAGCTTTCCTCTTCTCCAGGAGTGGACAGATTAATATGGAATGCGGGAGCCAGTACATTCATTCCAAGAGCCAGCAAAGGTTTGGTGCTAGCTGTTATTTTTAAGGAGGATTGGCTACCTGGATCCTGGGATTTGTCCAGCCCCGCCCTACTTTACTGGAAAAAAAAAACGTACTTCACTCTGTGTTGGAGATTTTCTCTCACTTTCCATCTGGTAAAAAATACCATCACTGGGACAGTTAGTGAGGAGAACTGTATTTAATAGAGTCCTGAATAACAGCTAAAACCTGGCAGGCATTCTTAGTCTCCTCCTCCCTATCTACTGAAAAAAAAGTTTGGCTGGACATACACTTTACAAGCAGTAACAACAATGAAAAAAATACTTCTAAACATAGGTCTGAAGTCAGGTTTAATTAGCTGGTAATCCAATTATTCTTTCCTTCTCCCATACTGCACTTGAAAAACAACAAAAGAGAATCTCATGATTTCTATGGGTATATAGAAACAGTTCTTCCGTCAGACTTCTTGGATCATGAGACTCACCATCTACTGCTTACTAGGACACTTATTCATTTGACTGTCATATTCCTTTCTCAAATCAGCAACATCAAAGCAATGTGTCATAGAAAATGTGTAAATAACTGTACAAGGTAATGGTGGTAAACTACAGCTAAAAATAAACCTTGCAATGTTTGATCCAGGCAATATACAGTCATGTGAACAATTAAGAACACCCTGTGTAAATTGTTGGCAACACATTTTTCACAAAAAGGATGTTGTGGAACTGGAGAAAGTGCAGCGAAGGGCGACTAAACTCATAAGAGGCATGGAGGAGCTCCGCTATGAGGAAAGATTGACTGACTTGTATTTGCTCTCTCTGGAGAAGAAGTGATTAAGGGGGGACATGATCACCATGTATAAATACATAAATGGTCCATATAGTGGTCTTAGTGTCAAATTATTCACTTTAAGGTCACTGCAAAGGACAAGGGGGCACTCTTTGCGTCTGGAGAAAATGAGGTCTAACCTTTGCATACGGAAATCATTCTTCACAGTTAGAGCTGTGGAATAGACTCCCCCAGGAGCTAGTTCTAGCTAGCTCAGTTAATTGTTTAAAAAAAAAAAAAATATGGATGTATTTTTAAATGCACAGAATATTACTGGATATTGAGTTCTTATTAGGTATATTAAGCATCAGATTGTTGATCCAGGGAATATCCGATTGCCTTATGGAATCAGGAAGGAATTTTTTTCCCCCTGATGGAGCAAATTGAACCATGCTTTATAGGGGGTTTTTTGCCTTTAGTGTTCTGTTTAGGCTTTTTTTGTTTTTCATATCTCTATAGATTGAACTCGATGGACTTGTGTCTTTTTTCAGCCTGACTAACTATGTAACTATGCAGGTGTTTTGCACAAATGTCCACCAGTCTCTGACATCTGAAAGTAACTGACCACTTCTCCATGCAGAATTTCTTCAGTTGCAAGATGTTTGTGAGATTGCTTGCATGAACTCTCTGCTTCAAATACCCCAACAACATTTAAATGGGATTTAAATCAGGGCTTTGACTAGGCCAGTCTATAACCCTTCAATACTTCTTTTTCAAGGCATTTCTTGGAGGATTTGCTAATGTTCTTCAGATCATTACTGTGTTGAAGGATCCATTTGCGGTTTAACGTCAACTTTTGGACAGATAGCCTCACATTGTCATCATGCAAACTTTGATATGATGCAGATTTTATTGCCGATTCAATGGCTACAAGCTGTCCAGGTCCTGAAGTAGCAAAAGCAACTCCACAAAATAAATACTATGCTTCACTATTGGCATGAGGTTCTTATAAAATTCTGCTATTAAGTTTGCTCCAAACAGGTCTACTGTTACTGGTGGCAGAAAGTTTACATTTGATTAATCAGTCCACAGCACATTGTTCATAAAGGTCTGGTCTTTGACTTGTTCAACAGCTAATTGTAGTCTTGCTCGAACATTCCTTTTAGACAGCAAAAGCTTTTTTTCTGGAACACTTTCCATGTAGGTTACATTAGTGTAGATGCAGGCAGTTTGACACCAACTGTTGTAAGAGTTACATGTAGATCCTGGTATGAAATTCTGAGGTTCTTGGAAACTTCTTTTAGCATCAAATGGTTAGCTCTTGGGCTGAATTTGCTGGGCTGGGCAGTCCCGCACAAATTAGCAGTCTATCGAAATCTACACCATTTGTAGATTTTCTGTTCAGTGGAATGACCATTTCTAATAATTTGGAGTCCTTTTAAAATCCCTTGCCAGAATCCTAAACATCCGCAACCTTCTCTTTGACAGACTTAGAGAGCTCTTTTGATCCTGACATGATGACACCACACATGTCAATAGCAAAGCGAACACCAGACCCT